TGTTGTAAAATGCTGATAAGATAGCCTTGCGAAGTTTGCAATTTTCAGTCATTTTGTATTACAAAAAGGAAATTGATGCAACAACACCCAATTGGGCTGTCAATTTCCCGTGCGTAATAGAAAATGACTGAAAAACGTCGCAAGGCAATATTATCCGCATTTTACAACATTTCGCAACGAAACTTTGGATTATTACTATTTTTGTGATGCTCTTTCAAGCTGTGATGAAATTTTTGTCTAGATCAAAATTTAGTCTATAATGCAAATGGTCAATTATTACTGACTGTGGCATTAGAACGACAAACTCAGTGATAATGCCCTCTCTTCTTACACTTGTTACAAATAGCTTCTCTAGCTGGGCATTTTGAGCGTACATGCGGTCTATTACCACAAAAGAAACATTTAGCAGAACGTGAAGTGGATGCTACATACCTCTCACCCATTGCTTCTCCTACTTTGTTCTGTTCCTCGCCAAACCTCGGGTTCTGGTGAGGCAGTAGCTGCGAGTTGTACTGAGTCTCCGAGGCTTTCTGCGCCGTATCAAGAGCTCGAGCTTCTTCAAATGCTGTTTGTAAACCCAAGGTTTTGTTTTCGAGTAAATGTTGTGGAATGTTTCCATACCGTAGACCACTTATAAAAGCATCACGAACAGCTTCATCACGGTGTTGAGCGGCAGAAACTTGGCAGAAATTGCAATCTTTACTCAAAAGCTTTAGTTCTTGTAAGTATTCATCCAACGTTTCGCCGACTTGTTGCTTTCGTGTTGCCAACTTATGTCGAGCAAATATCTCGTTTGGGGTCTTAAAATATAGAGTTTTTTAACAAAGTAATAGCTTCTTCATACGTTTCAGCTTCGCAAAACAGCTGGTAAACACCAAATGTAACATAATTGACTAACACATGCAACTTGTTCACTCAAACTTTAGCGATAACAAGCACCGGGTCTAAATACGGCTTTGTACACATATCAAATTCGACATTAAATTTCTCAAACGTGGCACCTAACTGGATTCAGTGACCAATATGGTTAAAAAAGGAAAGTTTGAAGTACCCATATCCATAATAAAACTTGTTATTAACCCCGATTTGAAGACTCGACAGCCTCTGAAACTTGATACAATTTGGCTATTTTGTTTAGCTTCAATTATAGCGGAGTTGAGACGTTAGAACTTCCAGTCACTTGTAAAATGCGCTGTCGTTCCGTTTTTAGTGTGAAGTTTTGCTTCACACTATTGTGATGGCTGGCGAATTCACACGAATCAGTCAAACAGTCAGTCAGTCATAGAGTAAACTTTCCGGGGGGTGTATACGATTTATGTTCGTAGTGATTTATTGTACTTAGTCAGTACTTTGAAGGTTATTTAGGCAATTTCAGTTAACTTATTTACATATTCTGTTATCCTTTTGCCAAGTTCACAAAAATTTCTAGGAATCGCTTTCGTTATTGTAATTTTTTGTAAATTTTAGAACATTCGCTTCTCATGTTGTGTAAAGGATCTTTACCCCGGAACACCCGATTTTTTCTTTAGTAGCGCAAATGCGCATGCGCTATCAAGCCGTAGATCACGATGGCGTGACGATATGCTAGGAAGGGGTGACAGTGTTGTTTTCAAATGTATAAAGATTTCAGACGTGAATATTGAGTAAAAATTTTGAAATCTACGCAATATATAAATTGATCTTATGCATTACGGGCGTTCAATTAAGTGCCGATAATATTTACACGGTATATTCATTATACAGAGCTAGGAAGGAGCTAGACCGCCTAGACAGTGCCGGATGCAGTCAAGCGTGTAAACATTTCAGACGTAAATATTGAGTCGAATACCTTGATTCTAGGCATTCATTTGAGTGCCGATATTATTTTCACGGTATTCTCATTATACAGAGCTACAGTACGTAGGCAGAAACGAGACAGTGTTGTTTTCAAGTATATAAAGATTTCAGACGTGAATATTGAGTAAATCTTTGAAAATCTACACAATACATATAAATTGATCTTATGCATTACTGGCGTTCAATTTAATAAGTGCCGATAATATTTAGACGGTATATTCATTATACAGAGCTAGGAAGGAGCTAGACCGCCTAGACAGTGCAGTTAAGTGTATAAACATTTCAGACGTAAATATTGAGTCGAAAATCTTGCTTCTAGGCATTCAATTGAGTGCCGATATTATTTTTTCACGGCATACTCATTATACAGAGGTACAGTACGTGCAGGCAGAAGCGAGACAGTGTTGTTTTCAAGTATATAAACATTTCAGACATGAATATTGAGAAAATCTTTGAGATTCTACGCAATAATAGTAATACAATATATAAATTGATGTTATGCATTACCGTCGATATTATTTAGACCGTGTATTCATTATACATTCTCATTGACTGTATAAGGTGCCACATCACAGAATAGATGGCTATTGAAATCTAAAGTGATATTTATATTCAACACATGCGAAAAGCTGAAAATAAACACACGTCACACTGGGAAAAGTCAAAGGTCAATGAAACTTGTTATTGTGAAACATGTCACAATTAAGTTAAAATGCGGAAGCGGATGGAGCGGATTCACGGATATGCGGATAAAATACGGAACGGATGTGCGGATAAAATACGGAACGGATGAGGATAAAATGCGTCTTTTAATGATGTAACGACGTAGTGCTTATTATTCATAAAATAAAATAGAAAGCTATTTCAATTATAGTTTATTAGATAAATTTAGCATAGCGGTAGCCTCGTGGGGATGCTTTCAGCGACAGCTGCAAATGCAAATGAAAATTTAGAATATGCAAAATTTGGTTGTTGGTGACACAATAAATAGATGAATTGCATCAGTTTCACAAGGCACGTTTCTGATGTGTTAGGCTTGTTTCAAACGTCACGCTACTCGTGTGCCGAGCGTATTAAAAGCAATAAATAATGAGATGAAATGCCTTTGGTAACTGTTTATTTCGTAGTGTAAGCCATCAAGCTTTTCTAGGTTGTCGGCGACCCTATATAGTTCTTGCAGTTTGAAACTTCACACTATCCTTGGATCCCTAGTTTTAATTTTAGTATACCTTTCCCGGGAATATACTTTTTTTGCTAAGATAAAAAATTAGTCTATAATGGAAATTGTCTATTGGTCCCCATTATCTATTTTTGTTTCTCTAAATAAAGAGCTAGAGAGTTTTTGTTTCTCTAAATAAAGATAAAAAGCTAGAGGGGGGAACCAAAATTTATGTTCTTGTTTTGCCTGTGGGGGTGGGGCTTTGAAAATGTTACTTGTCTTAAGATGGGGGCAACGAAAAAAATATTATAACTGTAGAGTTTCTCCTCAGTCTCCCCCTGTACAATAAATAATGAGCAGTCCCTTACCTCAAAATTTCGCAACAGTCTGTTTCATCAGTAAAGAATCATCAGGCGCCTGATATATATATATATATATCTATATATTGCAATCAGTGCTCCCATCATGCTTTGCGCGCTTAGGGTTTAAGGTTTAAGGTTTTAAAGTTTAAGGTTTGCGAAGGACAACCTTTATTGAATTAGCTGTATATATATATATATATATATATATATATATATATATATATATATA